CATAGAAGAAAACTTTCCCAACCTTAAGAAAGACATGCCAATGAAGGTACAAGAAGCCTACAGAACACCAAATAGAGTGGACCACAAAAAAAAATCCCCTCGCCACATAATAATCAAGACCCCAAACATACAGAATAAAGAAAGAATATTAAGAGCAGCTAAGGAAAAAGGTCAAGTAACATATAAAGGCAGACCTATCAGAATTACACCTGATTTCTCCATGGAAACGCTGAAAGCCAGAAGGTCCTGGATAGATATTCTACCTACACTAAGAGACCACGGATGCCAGCCCAGACTACTATACCCGGCAAAGCTCTCAATCACTATAGACGGAGAAAACAAGATATTCCATGACAAAACTAGATTCAAGCAATATGTGTCCACTAACCCAGCCCTACAGAAAATTTTGGAAGGAAAACTCCAACCCAAGGAAGCTAACTACAACCAGAAAAACATAAGCATTAGAGAATCTCTCTCTACCAACAGCCAAAAGAACAAAGGGGTGAAATTCCACACATAATTCCACCAACAACAACCATCGCAAATCGAAGAAGGATGAGCAATCATTGGTCATTAATATCCCTCAATATTAATGGCCTTAACTCACCCATAAAAAGACACAGACTAGCAGATTGGATTCGAAGACAGAACCCTTCCTTCTGCTGCATACAGGAAACACACCTCACCCTTAAAGACAGACATTACCTGAGAATTAAAGGTTGGGAAAAAATTTTTCAATCGAATGGACCCAAGAAACAAGCCAGGGTAGCAATCCTAATATCTAACAAACTAGACTTTAAAATAAAATCAATCAAAAGAGATGAAGGAGGTCATTACATACTCATCACAGGTGAAACCCACCAAGATGAAGTGTCTATTCTGAACATCTATGCCCCAAATACAAAGGCATCCACATTCGTTAAAAAAACATTATTAGAACTTAAATCTCATCTAAAGCCCCACACAGTTATAGTGGGAGATTTCAACACACCACTCTCACCACTAGACAGGAATACCAAACAGAAACTCAACAAAGAAGCAAAAGGGCTAATAGAAGTAATGACCCAACTGGGATTAACAGATATCTATAGAACATTTCATCCACATAAAAAAGAATATACCTTCTTCTCACCACCACATGGAACCTTCTCAAAAATCGACCACATACTTGGCAACATATCAAACCTCAGCAGCTACAAAAAAATTGGAATAACTCCATGCATCTTATCAGACCACCATGCTTTAAAATTAGAATTCAACAACAACACAAATTGCAGAAAACCTACAAACTCATGGAAATTGAATAATGCTCAACTGCACCATCCCTGGGTCAAAGAGGAAATAAAAAAAGAAATTAAAGACTTCCTCGAATTCAATGAGAATGAAGACACAACATACCCAAACCTATGGGACACTTTGAAAGCAGTGCTACGGGGAAGTTCATAGCGCTAAATGCTCACATGAAGAAACAGGAGAACAGTTATACCAGAGAATTAACATCACAGCTGAAAGCTCTAGAACACAAAGAAGCACACTCCCCAGGAGGAGTAGACGCCAGGAAATAATCAAATTGAGGGCTGAAATCAATAAAGTAGAAACCAGGAAAACAATACAAAGAATCAACGCAACGAAGAGTTGGTTCTTTGAGAAAATCAACAAGATAGACAAACCTTTGTCCAAACTTACCAAACAGCAGAGAGTGAACACGCAAATTAACAAAATTAGAAATGAAAAGGGGGACATAACAACAGACTCTGAGGAAATCCAGAGAATCATTAGGTCATACTTTGAAAACCTGTACTCCACAAAATTCGAAAATTTAAAGGAAATGGATGACTTCCTGGACAGCTATCAATTGCCAAAACTAAATCAAGAACAGATAAGCAATTTAAATAGACCTATAACCCCTATGGAAATAGAAGCTGTCATCAAAAGTCTCCCAACCAAAAAAAGCCCAGGTCCAGATGGCCTCAGTGCAGAATTCTACCAGAAATTCAAAGAACAGCTTATACCAATTCTTCTCAAAGTGTTCCACACAATAGAAGCAGAAGGGTCTTTGCCAAACTCTTTCTATGAGGCTTCAATAACCTTGATCCCCAAGCCACACAAAGATACAACTAAGAAAGAGAACTTCAGACCAATATCCCTCATGAACATTGATGCAAAACTACTCAATAAAATACTGGCAAATCGGATCCAAGAACACATCAAAACAATCATTCACCACGATCAAGTAGGTTTCATCCCAGGGATGCAGGGATGGTTCAACATACGAAAATCCATCAACGTAATCCACCATATAAACAAGCTGAAAAACAAAAATCACATGATCATCTCACTAGATGCTGAAAAAGCCTTTGACAAAATCCAACACCCCTTCATGATAAAGGTCTTGGAGAGATCTGGGATAACAGGGACATACTTAAACATAATAAAAGCTATATACAGTAAACCAACAGCCAACATCAAACTAAATGGACAGAAACTCAATGCAATTCCTCTAAAATCAGGAACAAAACAAGGCTGTCCACTCTCTCCATACCTTTTCAACATGGTACTTGAAGTTCTAGCTATTGCCATACGACAACAAAGGGGGATCAAGGGGATACAAATTGGGAAGGAAGAGGTCAAACTTTCACTGTTTGCAGACGATATGATAGTTTACATCAATGACCCAAAGAACTCTACCAGGGAACTCTTACAGCTGATTAACACCTTCAGCAAAGTGGCAGGCTACAAGATCAACTCAAGAAAATCAGTAGCCCTACTATATACAGATGATAAAAGGGCTGAAAGAGAAATCAGAGAAACATCACCCTTTACAATTGCCACAAACAACATAAAATACCTTGGGGTAACGCTAACCAAACAAGTGAAAGACCTGTATCGTAAGAACTTTGAATCTTTAAAGAAAGAAATTAAAGAAGCCCTCAGAAAATGGAAAGATCTCCCATGCTCTTGGATAGGTAGGATCAATGTAGTAAAAATGGCAATCCTGCCAAAAGCAATCTACAGATTCAATGCAATCCCCATTAAAATCCCAGCACAGTTCTTCACAGACCTTGAAAGAACAATAATCAATTTTGTATGGAAAAACAAAAGACCCAGGATAGCCAAAACAACCCTGTTCAACAAGGCAACGTCCGGAGGCATCACCATCCCTGACCTCAAGCTCTATTATAGAGCTATAGTCCTGAAAACAGCTTGGTATTGGCACAAAAATAGACAGGTAGACCAATGGAATCGAATTGAAAACCCGGGTATTAACCCACACACGTACGAACATCTGATCTTTGACAAAGAAGCTAAAAATATACAATGGAATAAAGAAAGCATCTTCAACAAATGGTGCTGGCATAATTGCAGACTGGCATGTAGAAGAATGCAGATTGATCCATGTCTATCGCCATGCACAAAACTTAAGTCCAAATGGATCAAAGACCTCAACATAAATCCAGCCACACTGAACCTCTTAGAAGAGAAAGTGGGTGGTACCCTTGAACGAATTGGTACAGGAGACAGCTTCCTGAACATAACACCAGTAGCACAGGCAGTAAGATCAACAATTAATAAATGGGACCTACTGAAACTGAGAAGCTTCTGTAAGGCAAAGGACACAGTCAGCAAGACAACAAGGCAGCCCACAGAATGGGAAAAAATATTCACTAACCCCACATCTGACAGAGGGTTGATCTCCAAAATTTACAAAGAACTCAAGAAGCAAGTCTCCAAAACACCAAAGGACCCTATTAAAAAGTGGGCTGCAGAACTAAATAGAGAGTTTTCAATAGAGGAGTCTAAAATGGCTGAGAGGCACTTGAGAAAGTGCTCAACATCCTTAGCCATCCGGGAAATGCAAATCAAAACAACTCTCAGATACCATCTCACCCCTGTCAGAATGGCTAAAATCAAAAACACCAATGACAATTTATGCTGGAGAGGATGTGGTGAAAGGGGGACATTCCTCCATTGCTGGTGGGAGTGCCAACTGGTTCAGCCACTTTGGAAATCAGTGTGGAGATTCCTCAGAAAAATGGGAATAAACCTACCACAAGACCCAGCAACTCCACTCTTAGGCATATATCCAAAAGATGCCCATTCATACAACAAAGAGGTCTGTTCCACTATGTTCATAGCAGCATTATTTGTAATTGCCAGAACGTGGAAGCAACCTAGATGTCCCTCACCCGAAGAGTGGATAGAGAAAATGTGGTACATCTACACAATGGAGTACTATTCAGCAGAAAAAAATAATGGAATCATGAGATTCGCAGGCAAATGGATGACACTAGAAGAAACCATCCTGAGTGAGGTAACCCAGTCACAAAAGAGAAACATGGCATGTACTCTCTCATATATGGATTTTAGACATAGATCTGGGGAGTGCCAGCCTACAATCCTATGGCCAGAGAGTCTGGGAAACAGAAACTTTATTTAGTGGCTGATCGAAGAAGAGGCAGACTCCCTTGGTTAAGTACTGAGCTGAACTCAAGAAAGCCAGTAACAGAGAGGGAGGACTGATGATCAAAGGGATTAAGACTGGGCTGGTTTAACCCCCAGAAACAGCTGACCTGACAAGGGTTAACTCTTGAATCCCAGGCATTAGCCTGGGAAGCCAGCATGGGACTGATCAAGACCCCCTGAATCTGGGTGTCAGTGAAGAGGCCTAGGGAATCTATTGAGCCTTGGGCAGCAGATCAGTACCCATCCCAAGTATACACACGGACTTTGGACTCCAATAGAACAATGTGAGGTGCACTCTCACCCAGAACTCTTGGGAAAGGGTCTAGGCCCTGCCCTATATGAAATGACACACTATGGACACCCCCATGGAGGGCCTCACCCTCCCTGGAGAAATGAGAGGATAAGGGGGGGGAGGGGAGGGCACGGGAGGAAGGGAGGGAATGGGAGAGGGACCTGGAACTGACTTGTGAAGCAACCTTGATTCTTATCTAAATTTAAACTGGAAAATAAAATTTAAAAAAAAAGTTATTGGAACATTTTATCATGCCACATGCTTTTAGGTGATATGTATTTATGGTCTACAGTGGTTTCAAGAACATCATCACACCTCTTTCACCTTAAAAGCATAACCTGTTTGCTTGAAGTAACATAAGACAGTCTCCTGCTAGAATGGAAGAGGCTAGAAACATAGAAGGAAAACTTTAAAAAGTTTCTTCTCCCAGCCAATTGCTGTAGTTTTGAGTCACATAAAAACGCGGTGAACTTATTCCTGAGAAGAGGGATTTGATGTAGACATCCCACTCAGGGAACCCTGCAGAAGAGGAGATGGAAAGATGTATGAGTCAATGAGGATGTCAAGAACACAAATGCCTTCTAACGCAACAGGACTGATGTGTATATGGATTGGCAGATACTGTGGCAGCATGCGCAGGACCTAAAGATTTCTGAGCCACATAGGGGTCTCAGCACCGAGAGGGGAGGCAGGCACAGCCTCCTTCCCTAACCGAGAAGCTACCTTTAATTGATAATTTCTCACGAAGAAAGAAAAATTAGACAAATGTGGCTGATAACTCATTCAGTCAGTAGAGGGCATGTTATTCAGTGTGTGTCCTCTGATAGACACTGAGACAAAATACCAATACAACATTTCTATGACAAGTTTTCCCTTATCAAGCAAGACCAGCATTGATTTAATTTTCACTTTTATCCAACTACCATAACTACACACCCTAGCTATTTCTTATTTATGAGTGCTAAATCCTTCTCGATCCTTCTGCCATTATTCTTATACCCTTTAATCATGTCACAACTCTGTTAGTAGATAGCTTGTTAAAGTCTACCCTTGAATATATAGGGTGGTGTCAGTTTCCGGCTACTTGTATAGGAAATGTAGAAGTAATTGAGTAAGTGTTCAATTGAGAATAGTTAAAGTGAGAATATATTAGACACTGCCATACCAGATCACAGTCCGTGTTTATTGTTCATCTCAAAGATTCCCTAATAGCAAGATTGGGGTGAGGAAGACTCTGGAGAAAAGGGAGAAATGATTAGGCCTCAGAAGGAAAAGCATGCGGATCTCAATAATCCTTAGTTTTCCTTTCACTAGATCTAAAATCTAGTGTGTAATAGTGTTGGCCATATTAGCCTAGCTTGTATTCATCTACATTATCATATGAATATGTTGTCTAATCAAAAACATAAAAGTTGTGGTTCATTGGCGAAATTTGGTACACCCTGGCATTAATAAATAAAGTATGGTGACAATACCACTGTGATAGTTATCTGTCCCGTTGCTGTGATGAAATGCATTTTAAAGGTAACTTGTTATGTGTTCTGGCTTGCAGTTTGTGGGTATACAGTCTCTTATGGGCACAGCACGGTGACAAAATGGGAGGCAGCTGGTCCCATTGTATTTATAATCAGGAATTAGAGAGAAATGACTGCTATTGCTAAGCTCACTCTTTTCTTTTTAGGAATTTCAGAACCTCAGCCTAAAGAATGATGCTACCCATAAAGTTAGACATTCTCACTTGAATTTACCTAATCATGATAATCCTCCAGAGGCATGCCCAGAGATTTGCCTCCTAGGTGATTCTAGAACTTGCCACATTGAAATTATCAGCTGTCCTAACCACTAACATTTCATTTTTAAAGTATCTGTTGTGTTAGAAGTGATAAACACACTATGACTCAGAAAATCTAAAATGTTCATTACCTAGACTTTTATAGACCTAACAGATTTCCTTAAATTGTAAGAAATTTTCAAGTCTTTCTCATCATCAAATCCTAGATTACAATACATGATGTCACAATTGTACCCTGACATGAACTTACTGTGCCTTCTCCTTATGTACTTCTTGATAATTCACTGCTGAGCATGCCAGGCCTGTACTGAAGAAGTCTTTTCCTGTCTTAGTCACAACATCACCAAGCTGACATTTGTGAACACATTTCTTTCTTTCTGTGGCTTTTTACTCTAAGCAAATACGACTTCATTTTGGATTATTTTATATTCTGACTATCTTAAGATTTCCTTATTTCTTCTCTGGAATATACACTTTATAATCACAGTGACTAACAGAAAATGCCCATCACTGCATGACATCCTATTGTATGTGTGTATATGTATATATTATAACCACTTTGTATTTCACACTGCGCCTCCCTTTGCTGAATGGAGGAAAAGGCAGAGGTACAACATAGATACACTTTGTATAAAGCTATTCTTCAGTTCCTATTTGAAAGAAAGACTTCCTTGGAGGGTAACTAGGCTCTCAGTACATTCTTAGAAAATTTGGACTGCTCTTGGGCTCTTTTCCTCCTGTTGTTACCTTGTCCAGCCTTAGTATTAGGGCTCTTATCTTGTCTTATTGTATCTTGTTTTGTTGTATTTAGTTGTCTATTGGAAGCCTGTTCTTTTCTGAAGGAATATTAAAAGAAGAGTGGATCATGGGAAAATGGGTGTCTGGTGAGTACTGGGGGGAGTTAAGGGATGGAAAACTATGGTTGAGATATATTGTATGAGAGAAAAAATCTAGTTTCAATTTTAAAAAGTTGCTCCAGTTGAAAATCTGCCTGCAAATGTGCTTTCTGGTTATGGTCTGAGATAGTTAATACATATTTTAAAACAAATTTCTATTTCCCCAGGACCATTCAAAGGTGCAATGAATGGAAACCATGGGTTATTTGTCACAAGTAAAGGTCTTGAAAATCTCAGTGACTATTACAATTGACTTCCTTCTAAATACAACTACAGAAGAGGAAGCTTACCAGTCAATCTCAGCCACAAGAGAAACACAGTGTTTGTCTATGAGCTGACAATTTGGTGATTGGCAATGTCATTGTCTTCAAAAACACTCTAATTTTATTTAATTTCATAAAATGGGGATTTTTTCCTTAAATAGTATTAACATATTTAAAAGGTTCCTATATTACAAATATTATTAAAAGTTCTATAGATTTTAATAAGATAATTTCAACATAGATTTTACAATTAATGAAGTATTTGTGATGAAAATGATAACTAATGTATGTTATTTGTGATCTTTTCTTGGCTACAATGACGCACAAAAATATTTACAAAGAATGTATGCATAGAATCAGTACACTGGTGGATACTTTCCATATTTATCTATGAGTAAACCTTCCCAGAACCCAGAGGAGTTAGCCAAAGTACAAAAGAAATAGAGTCAGACACAAAAGTATCAGAATCTAAGTTTGATGTCTTTTCCCTCAAACTCAGATACACAGTGTTTGAATTTTTTAAACAGGCATGTTAAGGCCAAATTCTTAATCCCTTTTTGAAATTTCTGAAAGACAGTGGGTGCATCTTTGCAAACAGGAACATGACTGCATGACAGTATTTTCACTTTAATTTACACATTCTGAGTTGTTTTCATTTTATATCTAATTCTAAACTATCAGTATGTTATGATTCAGTGATTATGTTTCGGTTTAAATGCGGCTTTGATTTTTATCCTCAATCTACACTATATTAGTACTTTTTGTAAAAAAAAAATCAAGTTTTAATGAGCAAACCAAACAAGAATGTTCATGTAACACTGAACAATGGCCATCGCTGTCCTTATAGTTCTCACTTCCCGATCATGAGACATCCCTTTGTGGCTATCATAATTGGTATAATGAATTTCCTAAAATAAATGGAAGTCTAATTTGATCCAGTGCCCACGAACAATCCAGGCATTCACATCTAAACCACTGACCTGATTTGCAGACGAATCATGCCAAAATGAAGTCATGCTTTTCTGTGAAGTGTGCTCCCTTAGTAGAGAAGTTGAATGGTTTGTTCTGAGGGCTCTGGAGTGGGGATTTCCAGTAACAAAGAAACACAATCTGAGCTCACAACTCCAGTCACCTAGACTTGCTTTAAATAAAAGAAACTTGAGATGGGAAGAAAATCTGAGTCATCAACCAGTTCACTGATTGTTATTGAGTGGAAAAACTTGCTGGTGCCCTTGGCTGTGAGCAGTTAAGAGACTCACAATTTTCCACAGGTAACAACTTTAAGGACTAGAATGCAATATCTAATTGGACAAGGATCATTGTATCATAAGGTCTAACACCTAAATCTCAGACCATCATGGCAGACGATTTCTGAGGAAGCAAATACATGGATATACGTACTTCATTATGAAATTCACCACCATTTCAAACCTATACTGAGGGACTTTACCATTTTTACAACTGTTAACTGTTTTAGCATCATGAAAATATGTTATAATGTTTTTAAATTTTCTTATTTAAATTAGAAACAAGCTTGTTTTACATGTCAATTCCAGTTTCCTCTCCTCCCCTGCCCCCCAACAACTCCCTACCCTATCTCCCCTCTCCTTCCCAAGGAGGGTGAGGCCTTCCATGGGGGATCCTTAAAGACTGTAACATCATTTGGAGCAGGGCCTAGTCCCTTACCATTGTGTCTAGGCTGTGGGAGTATCTCTCTATGTGGAATGGGCTCCCAAAGTCCATTCATATGCTAGGGATAAATACTGATCCATTATCAAAGTCCCTATAAATTGCCCAGACCCGCAAACAGACATCCACATTCAGAGGGTCTGGAATAGTCCTATGTGTAGTTATCTTGCTACAGATTAGAAATTAGAAGGGGATGAAGAGAGAGAGAGAGAGAGAGAGAGAGAGAGAGAGAGAGAGAGAGAGAGAGAGAGAGAGAGAGGGAGGGAGGGAGGGAGGGAGGGAGGGAGAGAGAGAGAGAGAGGGAGGGAGAGAGAGAGAGAGAGGGAGGGAGAGATAGAGGGAGAGAGTGCAAGAGAGAAGAGGGGTAAGAAGAGTGAGATAAGAGAGCATACGTGGGCAGGGGTCTGTCTTTTAAAGGGGTCCTTTGCACCTGTGTACAGACTGGTTCTCATGGAACTCTGGGCTGGCCAGTGAACTTTCTTAGTTCATTCTGTCAGGTAACAGGGCAGGCCAGTGCAGTGCCTGAAACTTTCACTATGCTGATTTCCCAGGTATGAGTCTAGGGTCCATGAGCTCCCCCTTGTTCAAGTCATCTCTTTCTGTGGGTTTCTACAACCTGGTCTTGACCACTTTGCTCATCACTCCTCCTTGTCTACAACTGGATTCCAGGAGTTCATCTCAGTGTTTAGCTGTGGGTGTCTGTTTCTGCTTCAATCAGCTACTGGATGAAGGTTCTAGGATGGCATATAAGGAAGTCATTAATCTCATTATCGGGGAAGGGCATTTAAGGTAGCCTCTCCACTGTTGTTTAGATTGCTAGTTGGGGTCATCTTTGTAGATCTCTGGACATTTCCCTAGTGGCAGATTTCTCTTTAAACCTATAATGGCTCCCTCTATTATGGCATCTCCTTTCTTCTTCCCCTGACTCAATCTTCCTTCTCCCGCATGTCTTCCTCTCACACTCTCTTCTCCCCTTCTCTTTCTCCTAACACCCTCTACCCTTCCTCCATGATCACTAATAGCTAAGGAGATCTTGTCCCATTCCCCTTCTAAGGGGGATCATATATGTCTCTCTTAGGGTTCTCCTTGTTTCTTAGATTTTCTAGCGGTATGGATTAATTCTTTGCTCTATTTCTAAAGTCAATAAGAGTGAGTACATACCATGCTTGTCCTTTTATGCCTGGGTTACCTCACTCAGGATGGTTTTTCTAGTGTCATCCATTTGCCTGAAAATTTCAAGATTCCATTGTTTTTATTCCGCTGAGAAGTCCTCCATTGGGTAAATGTACCACATTTTCTTTATCCAGTCCTCATTTGACATGTATCTAGTTTGATTTCATGTTCTGGCTATTACAAATAATGCTGCTATGAACATAGTTGATCAGATGTCCTTGTTGTATGAATGTGCATTTTTTGGATATATGCCTAAGAATGGAATTGCTGAATCTCGTAGTAAACTGGTTCCCATTTTCCAGCCCAAGTGCCATACTGATTTCCAAAGTGGCTATACTAGTTGGCACTCACACTAGCAGTGGAATAGTGTTCCCCTTTCTCCACATCCTCCCCAGCAAAAACTTGCATTGGTGTTTTTTATTTTAACCATTCTGACAGGAGCAAGATTGTATCTCAGAGTTGTTTTGATTTGCATTTCCCTGATGGCTAAAGGTGTTGAGGACTTTCTTAACTGTCTTTCAGTCATTTTAGATTCCTCAGTTAAGAATTCTCTATTTAGTTGTGAACATCACTATTTAAATGGATTATTGGATATTTTGGTTATTAGCTTCTTGAGTTATTTTTATATTTTGGAAATCAGCCCTCTGTCAGATGTGGGGATAGTCAATATCTTTTCCCATTACGTGGGTTGCTATTTTGTCTCATTCACTGTGTCCTTTGTCCTATAGAAGCTTCTCAGTTTCAGTAGATCCCACTTATTAATTGTTGATCTCAGTGTCTATGCTACTGGTGTAATGTTCAGCAAGCAGTCTCCTGTATGAATATGTTGGAGGGTACCTCCTACTTTCTCTTCTAAGAGGTTCAGTGTGGCTGGATTTTTGTTGAGGTCTTTGATCTGTTTGGAAATAAGTTTTGTGCATGAAGATAGATATGATTCTGTCAGCAGTGTTCTACACACCAGCATTATGCCAGCACTATTTGTTGAAGATGCTTTCTTTTTTCCATTGTATAATTTTAGCTTCTTTGTCAAAAATCAGGTGTTGGTAGGTGTGTAGGTCCATATCAGGGTTTTCATTATTATTCCATTGGTCTACCTGTCTATGTTTTGTGCCAATACCAAGCTGTTTTCAGGATTATAGCTCTATAATAGAGATTAATGTCAGGAATGGTGATGCCACCTGAAGTTCCTCTATTGTACAGGGTTGTTTTGGTTATCCTGGGTCTTTTGTTTTTCCATATATTGTTGAGTATTGTTCTTTCAAGATCTGTGAAGAATTGTGCTGGGATTTTAATGGGGATTGCATTGAATCTGTAGATTGCTTTTGGCAAGACTATGTTGATCCTACCTATCCAAGAGCATGGGAGATCTGTCCATTTTCTGGTATCTTTCTTAATTTCTTTCTTTAAAGATTCAAAGTTGTTGTTATACAGGTCTTTCACTTGTTTGGTTAACATTTTCCCAAGGTATTTTGTGTTGTTTGTGGCAATTGTAAAGGGTGATATTTGTCTTTTTTCTTTCTCAGTCCATTTATCAACTGTATATAGTAGGGCTACTGATTTTTATTTGAGTTAATCTTGTATCCTGCCACTTTACTGAAGATATTTATCACCTCTAGGGGTTCCCTGGTAGAATTTTCTGGTCATTTATGTAAAGTATCATATCATCTGCAAATAGTGAACGTTTGACTTCTTTTCCAATTTGTGTTCCCTTGATCTACTTTTGTTTTCTTATTGTTCTAGCTAGAACTTCAAGTACAATATTGAAGAGATATGGAATGATTGGACAGTCTTGTCTTGTGTTTCTGATTTTAGAGGAATTACATTGAGATTCCCTCCATTTAGTTTGATATTGGCTGTTGATTTGCTGTATATTGCTTTTATTATGTTTAGGTATGTTCCTGTTATCACTGATCTCTCCAATATCTCTATCATGAGAGGGGGATTTGGATTTTGCCAAAGGGTTTTTCTAGCATCTAATGAGGTGATCATGTGATTTTTCTTTTTCAGTTTGTTTATGTGGTGGATTGACAGATTTTTATATGTTGAACCATCCCTGCATCCCTGGGATGAAACCTACTTGATCATGGTAGATGATTTTTCTGATGTGTTCTTGGATTCTATTTGCCAGTATTTTATTGAGTATTTTTTCATTGATGTTCATGAGGGAGATTGATCTGTAGTTCTCTTTCTTAGTTGTGTGTTTGTGTGGGTTGGGTACCAAGGGAATTGAGGCCTCATAAAAAGAATTTGGCAATGACCCTTCTGCTTCTATTATGTGGAATACTTTGAGGAGAACTGATATTAGCTGTTCTTTGAATTTCTGTTAGAATTCTTCACTGAAACCATCTGACCCTGGGATTTTTTTTTTTGGTTTTGGTTTTGGTTTTTTGTTGGGAGACTTTTGATAGCTGCTTCTATTTCATTAGGGGTTATAGGTCTATTTAAATTGTTTATCTATTCTTGATTTAATTTTGGTAAGTTGTATCTATCCAGAAAATTGTCCATTTCCTTTAGATTTTTTGAATTTTTCTTAGTACAGGTTTTCAATGTATGACCTGAAGATTCTCTGAATTTCCTCATTGTCTGCTGTTATGTCCCCCTTTTCATTTCTGATTTTGTTAATTTGTATGCTCATACTCTGCCTTTTGGTAAGTTTACATAAAGGTTTGTCTATCTTGTTGATTTTCTGGAAGAACCAACTCTTTGTTACATTGATTCTTTGTAGTATTGTTTTCCTAGTTTCTATGTTTTTGATTTCATCCCTCAATTTGATTATTTCCTGGTGTCACTCCTCTGGGATTATTTTGCTTCTTTTTGTTCTAGAGCTTTCAGTTGTATTTTAATTCTGTAGTTTGACTATTCTCCAATTTCTTTATGGTAAATGTTTTAATTTCCTATAGTTCCTCAATATATGCTTTAATTTTATTTAAAAATTCCTATAAATCTTGTCACATGACATACATATTTGTTTAGTCATACATGCATTCTTCCAGGTCTTCAGGTCTTCCGGTCTTACTGGAAAGATGAATAAATCTTGAAGATTTGTGGAAGACATGTGAGAAAATTACTTCTGCAGCACAGAAAAGCACTTCCTTTAAATAATCTTAATCTTGTACTGCCTTCCCTGAGTGCACACATCTGAAGTATCTCTTATCCTCATGATATTTACCATGTCATATCACCATCTTATCATTCCCTCACTCACTCTGATCTTTTGGAGTTA